CAACCGCGCTCTCCCGGCGTTGGCGGGAGCCGCTCTGGCTCTCCTCCGGCGCGGTAAACCTCGAGGCAGGGGTGGTCGAGAAAAAGAAATACCGCCGATGACAAGGGCAGAAGCACGACAACGCCAACGCCCATGCCCGCTTCTTCTCCGGGAGTGACGACGTGGTCTCTGCGGCCACAGGGGCGCTCAACGCCACCGTCGTCCCCGTCACGAGGCTCAGTTTAATCACCTGGTTTCCCGACCATTACCAGGTCGTGTCGTCCTACAAAGACATGGTCGAGATGGTGCTCGCCCACCGGGCGGCGCGCAATGCGGAGGAGCTCCTGATCGTCGCCAAATATCCTTCCGGCACCCCCTATGATCGGCTGGTATACAACTGCACAGTCACCCTCGACTCGCTGCAGTTGGAGACACTGCGGATCCTAGACCTCACAAACTGCAGTGGAGTACTAGTCTATCACACGGAGGCTCTGCTCCCACAGCTCGCCTCCCTAAGGTTGAGCCATTGCACCCAGCAGCTAGGATCCCTCCAACGCGTTATTGATGCGGCGCCATCGCTCGCTGTCGTCCGACTCGAGTCTGTATTCATAACACACGAGGAAGCCATAGAAGCCACGTGGCGCCACCTCCGATGCCCCGCAACCACCGTGCTTGTGCTTGACAGTTGCAGGTGGGAGGTGAAGGTACAGGCCCTTGACAAAGGCTGGTACTACTTGAAGCCCGTCGATCATTTGAAGATTGACGCGATGAGGATGCGCAACTTCAGCTACAAGGGGCAGCTCCGCTCCTACTCATTCAGTCCACAGCCTCTCGAGTTTGAACAAGTGGATCTGGAATTTTTTGAGGAAGGCTACAGGGTAAAGGATCGAAACCGTGACTTAGAAAACTTCTGAAAATTCACTCGGAACTTCACTAGTACCAAGGAGATGAACCTGAGTGTGAACCACCTCGAGGATATCGCAGTCCTCAGCGAGGCAAGGCAGGTCAAGCTCCTGCCAGCGTTCCGTCGCCTCGAGCGTCTCGAGTTTCATGGAGTGCATTGGACCAAAGACAAGACTGCAGCAGTGACAACCATCTTGAACCTGCTCCATTGCTGTCCTGTGCTCACTACCCTCCGAATCAACCTCACCGCAAAGTACGAGGAGGAGGATGTATCGAATAAACAAGGGGGACACAAAAAGAAAGGAACTACTCGAAAGGAAATATGATGGCTGCCATGGTAGGTCCGCACTACTTATTCCAATGCTTGCAGAGCTCACTGAGGAGAGTGGACTTACAGTTCCAGCTAGAGAAGAAGGACTGTCTTGGTGTCAAGCTGATAAAAACTTTCGCCGAGAATGCGATGGTACTTGAAGAAATACGTATTAGCAGTGGAGATGAAAAGTTGTGTGAGCACATGAATCCCAGAATTGCAAAGTGGAACACGAGTAGGAGAGTGTTAGGGGCCACAAGTTTTGTGGTCTTACCTCTTAAGATATGACTCTCCAAAAGGGGAAATAGGGTACGTATACTCCTATTTATGTAGTGTTTTTTCTGAAGACATTACTATTTGTAATCGCTTGGTGCACTTTTATATTTGGAAACTGTGTATTTGGATAGGAGGTTATATCATTCATGAAAACTGGCATTTCATATTATTCTTTACCTGCTGTACTTTTAAGTAAACAAAGTTGTTCTTTACCTGCATGCTTGTATTACTCGACCCTACCGAACTGTTAATTTCCTTGCACCAAGATGGCTAAGTGGGCTCTAGGGGACAAAACAAATATGTTGATGCAACAACTATGAAGGCTTGGCAGATCGAAAGAATGCTCCAACTTAAATTATCTTGTATATTAAACTATGTATATTTTCTATATAGTTTTTTGTAACTCTGTTTGCTGAATGGTCATGGGTATTTCTCCTGATGCTTTTGCAACCATGATTTGCTGAATTGTCATCTCTCTGCTGTGCGATGTTAGTCTTGCAGCCTTGACTGCTGGATGGTCATGGACCTTTCTGCAGTTTTGCTACTCTATGTTTTGTACCTCTAACAAACATGGTTGCTTTTTCATTGTGTTAATTCAATTGAGATTACTAAAATGTATTATTATTTGCAGGCATTTGATATCTGCAGGATTTACTGTCTGTAACTTGAAGAAGGGGGCGATCTGAGAAGCGCAAATCCATGTTTCTGTTATTAGATAATAGATATATAGATGGCTAAAGCAGACAAGCAATCCAGAGAAAGGAAGAAGGCAAGGCAGGTAGGGGTAGGTGCAAATCGGCTGTTCAGTCGTGCAAAGGAGGACGACCGTCCATTATTAAGCTAATATCTCAACATGGCTGAATGACCACCAGAAATACGGTCGCTTGGTGTGGCCTCTTGTATTGTTGTGATGTGATGGCTCTTAATTGTCGACTGGGTTTGTTATAAACTGCAATAGCTTTAGGCGAACTGTTCAAGAATGCCATTTTATTCCAAGAAATATCAGAAAGCGTTATGCCTGCAAGTCGCCATCTCCCTAGTTGACAGGTGTATCAACAGTCAGCACAATTGCTATTTGAGTCTTATCCCTTCTCCATCGACATGATATCTAGGTTGTCGCCCTCCTGATGCCCATGATGAACTATGCCTTTCTGGTATTGTTTTGTAAGGATGTCATTTAAGCTATAATGCTGGCTTTTCTTTCACTAATTTCGTTTGTGTTGTGCTCCATATTGGAGATGCACATTCTACCCTGAATATATTGCAATTTTCTGCAGCACTTCGGCTCTTGATTCTTGAATATGGGTTTGTTATAAACTGCAAAAGGTCAAGACGAATTGTTCAAGAATGCCATTTTCTTCCAAGAAAAGCTCCGAGCTGCTTGAGAACTGATTATATATTTCTTTTACACTTGGCATAGACAAAGTCAGACCCATGTGTCAGTTGTATATTCATAAAGAGCTGACCACTCATTTGTTAGTCTGAACAATTGCCACAGTTAGCAGAGGACTGAAACCCTGCTAATATCACACATAATCTTTATCTAGTGGTTTTTCTTTTCGTACCTGTGTAGTTTTTTTTTCAGTTCCTTGCATAGTGCCGGTGAACTAAATAACCGATAAGTGTTCCAGTTATTTCGGTGTGGATGAAACCAATAGGAAGTGCCATAATGGTCTCGATCTTCAACCCGAACAAGAACTTGATAAATCGTCGTCCCAGTTAAGAACGAAAAGAGAAATCAGACTTGCTACTTGGACCAGCAGATCCCTATTCGAAACCAGCACAAAATAAGCATTCCGTAAAATGTATTTCGTACTCGGCATACAAAAACAGCGAGTGACACCCTTTTTTCATCCAATAAATCAAACCACGACCTCCATTCAATGGCCAGAACTTTAAACACAAAAACTTTACACATCAGCGGCAGACTGAGAGTTCTATACAAGTGAAGCCTTGCTCAATGGATCTTGAGAGAATCCCTGTGAGTTCATACGTCACACTTCTCGTGCCAAGTTGGAGCTCATTTTTTTGAGCAAAAGATGGGGGGGGCACCCCCTCCGATTTCATTAACGAAGCAAAAGAGGGGGGGGCACCCCCTCCGATTTCATTAACGAAGCAAAAGAGGGGGGGGGCACCCCCTCCGATTTCATTAACGAAGCAAAAGAGGGGGGGGGGCACCCCCTCCGATTTCATTAACGAAACCACCACGAATCCAAGTTCAGACCCAGAACATCGACTCCTACCAAACTACCAACAAGTACAAGCATCATTAACAGTTTTCATAAACTAGGAAATCTAGGGCCACAGGAAGCCAATTTCA